CTATGGTGGTGTACGAAGTCACCACCAGCACAAGGACCATAGAGATCAGCAGCACCGCTAGCACATCTACAGGTACCAGGACGAGTACCAGCACCTCCACGGTCTCGACTTCCATCACCAGTGTGATGACCCGCAGCTCAACTTTTACCACGACCACCACACGCTCTTTCACTACTGACACCAGGGCGACTACTTCTACGATCAGTTCAGCGAGCAATTCCACCACGTTGACAACAGACACCCCTACATTCACTGTCAGCTCAATCGTGAGCACGACAGGGACGTCAAGCAGTACACTGGTGAGCGCGACAACCGTGTCCGCCACTATCACTACGACCGTGATGTACGTTGAGGGTCCGCGTGTCACAAACGGTGCTTGGGTGGGCAATTGCTACAGCACGATTCTGGGAGCCCAGGCTGATGCAGAGGCTGCGTGCACTGCTGATATTACTTGTTCTGTCTTGTACGATCACAGTTGTGACGGGGCTGGTTGGAGGTTTTGTTACAATCCGATCGACGACCTCCTGGCAGTTGGTACAGGTACTGACGGTTGCACAGCGGTGGTCTACCAGTCCACTACCACAACAGGCCACACCACCACTCAAACGAGTACCACCAGTGTAAGTTCGGCGTCGGCTACGAGCACCACGACTCTGCACACCACTACGGCCACCTCCAGCACCACCGTCTCAGAGAGTTCATTGACAGCTGAGACCAAGACTTCGACAAGTGCTTCAGCGACAACGCTGAGCACCACAGTGAGCACGACCACCGTGATAATCTATATTGACGGCCCACGTGTCTCGAATAGTGCTTGGGTCGGCATGTGCTTTAGCCAAGGCATGAGCCTGGCAGCCGCCCAGCAGGAGTGCGACGCGGACTCGAGATGTTCTGTGCTGCACGATTTCAGTTGCGATGGCGGTGGGTGGCGCGTGTGCCACGAATCGATTCAGGATATCATTGCCAATAACCCAGATGACACTGCGGCTTGCACCATGGTAGTGTACCAGGTCACTACCAGCACGAGCAGCACCGGTACCAGCAGCACTTCCCCGCATACCACTACGAGGAGCAGCACTACCAGCGCCACAAGCACCACAAGCCCGCATAGCACCACACAGACTAGCTCGGCGACCCAGACTGAAAGCGATACGTCCACGGCAACGACAAGTTCGATTTCCAGCAGCGCCACAGCCACAACATCTGCATCGTCCTCGTCAGGGACTAGCAGCTCGACCATGAGCAGCACGACGCTGAGTAGCACGACAGAGACAAGTAGCAGCATTATTAGTGCCACAAGCACAACAAGCCTGCATAGCACCTCGCAGACGAGCCTGGCGACACAGACAGAAAGCATTACCTCCACAGCTACGGCCAGCTCAGTGTCCAGCAGTGCCTCAGCCGCCACATTTTCCTCGACCTGGTCAGTGAACAGTAGTTCAACAGTGTCCCACACAAGGACTACCGACACGAGGACGAGTACCACTGCGGTGGTGTCAACTACCATGAGTTCCCTGTCTGCAAGCAACACGGTGAGCACGACAGGGACGTCAAGCAGTACACTGGTGAGCGCGACAACCGTGTCCGCCACTATCACTACGACCGTGATGTACGTTGAGGGTCCGCGTGTCACAAACGGTGCTTGGGTGGGCAATTGCTACAGCACGATTATGGGAACCCAGGCTGATGCAGAGGCTGCGTGCACTGCTGATATTACTTGTTCTGTCTTGTACGATCACAGTTGTGACGGGGCTGGTTGGAGGTTTTGTTACAATCCGATCGACGACCTCCTGGCAGTTGGTACAGGTACTGACGGTTGCACAGCGGTGGTCTACCAGTCCACTACCACAACAGGCCACACCACCACTCAAACGAGTACCACCAGTGTAAGTTCGGCGTCGGCTACGAGCACCACGACTCTGCACACCACTACGGCCACCTCCAGCACCACCGTCTCAGAGAGTTCATTGACAGCTGAGACCAAGACTTCGACAAGTGCTTCAGCGACAACGCTGAGCACCACAGTGAGCACGACCACCGTGATAATCTATATTGACGGCCCACGTGTCTCGAATAGTGCTTGGGTCGGCATGTGCTTTAGCCGAGGCATGAGCCTGGCAGCCGCCCAGCAGGAATGCGACGCGGACTCGAGATGTTCTGTGCTGCACGATTTCAGTTGCGATGGCGGTGGGTGGCGCGTGTGCTACGAGTCGATTCAGGATATCATTGCCAATAACCCAGATGACACTGCGGCTTGCACCATGGTAGTGTACCAGGTCACCACCAGCACGAGCAGCACCGGTACCAGCAGCACTTCCCCGCATACCACTACGAGGAGCAGCACTACCAGCGCCACAAGCACCACAAGCCCGCATAGCACCACACAGACTAGCTCCACGACCCTGACTTATAGCACGACTGTGAGCAGTGCGACGAGAACTAGCAGCACGACAGCGAGCATGACGGAGAGCAGCACGGATTCTTCCACGAGTGAAACGAGCAGTACGGCGAGCGCCATTTCGTTGAGCAGCACAACGGGTACTAGCAGCACGTCGTTGAGCAGCGCGACGGGGACAAGCGGCACGACTCAGACCAGTACGAGTGGAACAAGCGCCACTTCCCTGAGCAGCACGACGGGAACCAGCAGCACGACGGCGAGCAGCGCGACCACGGTGTCCTCAACGAGTGAGACGAGTAGTGTTTCGAGCAGTGCGTCTGCGAGCAGCACGACTGAAACCAGCAGCACGACATGGAGCAGCATAACGGAGAGCACCAGCAGCAGGACGGCTAGCAGTATGACTGAAAGCAGTCGCACGACGGTGTCTTCAACGAGTGTGACAAGTAGTCTTTCAAGCACTACGTCTGTGAGCAGCACAACGGAAACCAGCAGCACAACGGAGAGCAGTATATCGGGAACCAGCAGCAGCACGGCTAGCAGTATGACGGACACCAGTCGCACGACGGTGTCTTCAACGAGTGTAACAAGTAGTCTTTCGAGCACTACGTCTATGAGCAGCACGACGGGTACCAGCAGCACGTCAGAGACGAGCATCAGTACCATTAGCGCCACAAGCACAACGAGCTTGCACAGCACCACGCAGACCAGCTCGGTGTCCAGGACAGAAAGCAGCACCTCAACCATCACTGCGTCGAGCACTATTTCACTGAGCAGCACGACGCGTACTAGCAGCGCGACGCGGAGCACCACGACGGCGAGCAGCAGCCCGACGTCAACGTCCAACAGTAGGACGAGCACCACCTCTGTAAGCAGCGCAACGGGTACCAGCAGCACGACAGAGACGAGCATCAGCACCACCAGCGCCACAAGCACAACGAGCCTGCATAGCACGACGCAGACCAGCTCAACGACCAGGACAGACAGCAGCACTCTCACGGCTACGACCAGCTCGATGTCCAGCAGCTCCACAGCCACAATGTCTTCGTCGATTTCGTCGGTGACTCGCAGCTCAACGGTGACGACGCCCACCAGCTCGACGACCAGCAGCTCGTCAGGAACCTCTGGGTCGATAACAAGCAGCACTACGGGAACAAGCAGCACTACGGCTAGCGGGACAACGGATAGTAGCAGAACGACTTTGACATCCAGGAGTGACACGAGCAGTGCGTCGAGCAGCACTTCGCTGAGCAGCACGACGCGTACTAGCAGCGCGACGCGGAGCTCAACTACGGCGAGCAGCAGCCCGACGTCAACGTCCAATAGTATGACGAGCACCACCTCGGCAAGCAGCACAACGGGTACCAGCAGCACGACAGAGACGAGCATCAGCACCACCAGCGCTACAAGCACAACGAGCCTGCATAGCACGACGCAGACCAGCTCAACGACCAGGACAGACAGCAGCACCCTCACGGCTACGACCAGCTCGATGTCCAGCAGCTCCACAGCCACAATGTCTTCGTCGATCTCGTCGGTGACTCGCAGCTCAACGGTGACGACGCCCACAAGCTCGATGACCAGCACGAGCAGTGCGTCGAGCAGCACCTCGCTGAGCAGCACGACGCGTACTAGCAGCGCGACGGGGAGCACCACGACGGCGAGCAGCAGCCCGACGTCAACGTCCACTAGTATGACGAGCACCACCTCTGTAAGCAGCACAACGGGTACCAGCAGCACGACAGAGACGAGCATCAGCACCACCAGCGCCACAAGCACAACGAGCCTGCATAGTACGACGCAGACCAGCTCAACGACCAGGACGGACAGCAGCACTCTCACGGCTACGACCAGCTCGATGTCCAGCAGCTCCACAGCCACAATCTCTTCGTCAATTTCGTCGGTGACTCGCAGCTCAACGGTGACGACGCCCACCAGCTCGACGACCAGCAGCTCGTCAGGAACCTCTGGGTCGATAACCAGCAGCACTACGGGAACAAGCAGCACTACGGCTAGCGGTACAACGGATAGTAGCAGCACGACTTTGACATCCAGGAGTGACACGATCAGTGCGTCGAGCAGCACCTCGCTGAGCAGCACGACGCGTACTAGCAGTGCGACGCGGAGCTCAACTACGGCGAGCAGCAGCCCGACGTCAACGTCCAATAGTATGACGAGCACCACCTCTGTAAGCAGCACAACGGGTACCAGCAGCACGACAGAGACGAGCATCAGCACCACCAGCGCTACAAGCACAACGAGCCTGCATAGCACGACGCAGACCAGCTCAATGACCAGGACGGACAGCAGCACCCTCACGGCTACGACCAGGTCGATGTCCAGCAGCTCCACAGCCACAATGTCTTCGTCGATTTCGTCGGTGACTCGCAGCTCAACGGTGACGACGCCCACCAGCTCGATGACCAGCAGCTCGTCAGGAACCTCTGGGTCGATAACAAGCAGCACTACGGGAACAAGCAGCACTACGGTTAGCGGGACAACGGTCACTACCAGCGCCACAAGCACAACGAGCCTGCATAGCACGACGCAGACCAGCTCAACGACCCGGACAGGCAGCAGCACTCTCACGGCTACGACCAGCTCGATGTCCAGCAGCTCCACAGCCACAATGTCTTCGTCGATTTCGTCGGTGACTCGCAGCTCAACGGTGACGACGCCCACCAGCTCGATGACCAGCAGCTCGTCAGGGACCTCTGGATCGATAACAAGCAGCACTACGGGAACAAGCAGCACTACGGCTAGCGGGACAACGGATAGTAGCAGCAAGACTCTGACATCCAGGAGTGACACGAGTAGCGCGTCGAGCAGCACTTCGCTGAGCAGCACGACGCGTACTAGCAGCGTGACGCGGAGCACCACTACGGCGAGCAGCAGCCCGACGTCAACGTCCAATAGTATGACGAGCACCACCTCTGCGAGCAGCACAACGGGTACCAGCAGCAAGACAGAGACGAGCATCAGCACCATCAGCGCCACAAGCACAACGAGCCTTCATAGCACTACGCAGACCAGCTCAACGACCAGGACAGACAGCAGCACTCTCACGGCTACGACCAGCTCGATGTCCAGCAGATCCACAGCCACAATGTCTTCGTCGATTTCGTCGGTGACTCGCAGCTCAACGGTGACGACGCCCACCAGCTCGATGACCAGCAGCTCGTCAGGAACCTCTGGGTCGATAACAAGCAGCACTACGGGAACAAGCAGCACTACGGCTAGCGGGACAACGGTCACTACCAGCGCCACAAGCACAACGAGCCTGCATAGCACGACGCAGACCAGCTCAACGACCCGGACAGGCAGCAGCACTCTCACGGCTACGACCAGCTCGATGTCCAGCAGCTCCACAGCCACAATGTCTTCGTCGATTTCGTCGGTGACTCGCAGCTCAACGGTGACGACGCCCACCAGCTCGATGACCAGCAGCTCGTCAGGGACCTCTGGGTCGATAACAAGCAGCACTACGGGAACAAGCATCACTACGGCTAGCGGGACAACGGATAGTAGCAGCAAGACTCTGACATCCAGGAGTGACACGAGTAGCGCGTCGAGCAGCACTTCGCTGAGCAGCACGACGCGTACTAGCAGCGTGACGCGGAGCACCACTACGGCGAGCAGCAGCCCGACGTCAACGTCCAATAGTATGACGAGCACCACCTCTGCGAGCAGCACAACGGGTACCAGCAGCAAGACAGAGACGAGCATCAGCACCATCAGCGCCACAAGCACAACGAGCCTGCATAGCACTACGCAGACCAGCTCAACGACCAGGACAGACAGCAGCACTCTCACGGCTACGACCAGCTCGATGTCCAGCAGATCCACAGCCACAATGTCTTCGTCGATTTCGTCGGTGACTCGCAGCTCAACGGTGACGACGCCCACCAGCTCGATGACCAGCAGCTCGTCAGGAACCTCTGGGTCGATAACAAGCAGCACTACGGGAACAAGCAGCACTACGGCTAGCGGGACAACGGATAGTAGCAGCACGACTCTGACATCCAGGAGTGACACGAGCAGTGCGTCGAGCAGCACTTCGCTGAGCAGCACGACGCGTACTAGCAGCGCGACGCGGAGCTCAACTACGGCGAGCAGCAGCCCGACGTCAACGTCCAATAGTATGACGAGCACCACCTCGGCGAGCAGCACAACGGGTACCAGCAGCACGACACAGACGAGCATCAGCACCACCAGCGCCACAAGCACAACGAGCCTTCATAGCACTACGCAGACCAGCTCAACGACCAGGACGGACAGCAGCACTCTCACGGCTACGACCAGCTCGATGTCCAGCAGCTCCACTGCCACAATCTCTTCGTCGATCTCGTCGGTGACTCGCAGCTCAACGGTGACGACGCCCACCAGCTCGATGACCAGCAGCTCGTCAGGAACCTCTGGGTCGATGACAAGCAGCGCTACGGGAACAAGCAGCGCTACGGCTAGCGGGACAACGGATAGTAGCAGCACGACTCTGACATCCAGGAGTGACACGAGCAGTGCGTCGAGCATCACCTCGCTGAGCAGCACGACGCGTACTAGCAGCGCGACGCGGAGCTCAACGACGGCGAGCAGCAGCCCGACGTCAACGTCCAATAGTATGACGAGCACCACCTCGGCGAGCAGCACAACGAGTACCAGTAGCACGACAGAGACGAGCATCAGCACCATCAGCGCCACAAGCACAACGAGCCTGCATAGCACGACGCAGACCAGCTCAACGACCAGGACGGACAGCAGCACTCTCACGGCTACGACCAGCTCGATGTCCAGCAGCTCCACAGCCACAATGTCTTCGTCGATTTCGTCGGTGACTCGCAGCTCAACGGTGACGACGCCCACCAGCTCGACGACCAGCAGCTCGTCAGGAACCTCTGTGTCGATGACAAGCAGCACTACGGGAACAAGCAGCACTACGGCTAGCGGGACAACGGATAGTAGCAGCACGACTCTGACATCCAGGAGTGACACGAGCAGTGCGTCGAGCAGCACCTCGCTGAGCAGCACCACGCGTACTAGCAGCGCGACGCGGAGCACACCTACGGCGAGCAGCAGCCCGACGTCAACGTCCAATAGTATGACGAGCACCACCTCGGCGAGCAGCACAACGGGTACCAGCAGCACGACACAGACGAGCATCAGCACCATCAGCGCCACAAGCACAACGAGCCTTCATAGCACTACGCAGACCAGCTCAACGACCAGGACAGACAGCAGCACCCTCACGACAACGACCAGCTCGATTTCCAGCAGCTCCACAGCCACAATCTCTTCGTCGATCTCGTCGGTGACTCGCAGCTCAACGGTGACGACGCCCACCAGCTCGATGACCAGCAGCTCGACGGTGTTCTCAACGAGTGAAGCGAGTAGTCTTTCGAGCGCTACTTCTGTGAGCAACACGACAAGTGTCAGCAGCACGTCAGAGACGAGTATCAGCACCACCAGCGCCACCAGCACAACGAGCCTGCATAGCATGACGCAGACCAGCTCAACGACCTGGACAGAGATCAGCACTTCAAGTGTCAGTGTGTCGAATTTCATTTCGCAAAGCAGCACGACGCGCACCAGCAGCGCGACGCGGAGCACCACGTCCGCGAGCAGCATCACATCGCCGACTCCCAGCAGTACGACGAGCTCGAGTGAGACGAGCACCGCGTCTGTGAGCAGCACGACGGGAACCAGCATCACGGCATGGAGTAGCACAACGGAGAGCATCAGCACGACAGTGCCCTCCACGAGTAGTGCGACAGAGACAAGCAGCACAACGGTGAGCAGCACGACAGAGTCCAGCAGCAGCACGTTGATTCGTACAGGGGCAAGTGGCACCACAATGGCCACTTACACCACTGCTAGTTCTGATATTTCAACATCAAAAACAACCGACACACCAATCGCAGTCACAGACTACGAGTACATAATGACATTACGTGTTTTGTCAGTCGACTATTCAGAGCTCCAAGCCAATAGTCGCATCCACGGTGCTTTTGTATACGCCGTGACTGATGCATTTTTGGAAACGTTCCCAGATGTTTCCAGTTCGCAGGTGGTTGTAGAGTTATCTGCAGGGTCTGTGATTGTGGGCATTACTGTGGCAGATCTCACTGCCGACGCTGCGGAGTCGCTTCACGATCAATATGTCCAGCAGGGCTTCAACATCACGCATCAGGCCAACACACAGACTAAGCTCGAGAATATCGTCGGCATCACGGCGGTGCTTGCGAACGGCTCGACTATTGATGCGATCGTCGTGACTGTGATTAGCCAGCAGATCGTCTTTAGCACGAGCACGAGTTCGATGACTGCGACTAGCACAGGTGTGACTTCCACGTTCCAAGTTGGTACGGCCGCTGCCAGAGCGGTCGGTATTCTGCGGTCCTGCGAGACTGTGGCCGTAACCAAGCTGTGCGATCGGGGATCGCGATCTCTCTGTTCTGCGGTCGCTGGATCATTAAATGTTCGGCGGCTCGGTCGATCTTGCGCGCATTCACGTGATCTGTCCCACCGGTGGCCTGAGCGGATGGGGTGATCGAACCGTTTGGTTTTGGGCACCGGGCGGCAGTGGGCGCCGAGGCCCCCGCAGAGCCTCCGCTCGACGTGGTCTCACATGAACGCTGGTCGGCTGCTTCACTCGGCAGCGCGTCGTTGGGCATCCTGGGCGCCGTCGGCGCGATAGCCGCGGTGTCGGCCAGCTCAGTGATCCTGGTGGTGCAGAAGAGCTCCAAGAGGGGCCTGGACGTCGGACACAAAGGCCCCTTGCCATTTGCCATCGTCGCCGTCGGTAGCAAGTCACGGGAGCCTTGTATCGCAATTCCGTCGTTGATTGGCGTCTGGTAATCGATGAGATGGCGCCGATTTAGCGTCGCCTAGCGTAGATTCAGCGCCGATTTAGCGTCGATTAGCGTCGAGTTGCGTCGATTCGCAAGAGCCAGCGAGATTGTGGGGTACGCTCTCATGAGCTGCCACCGGAATTTGGCATCGTCGCCGTCTGACATCGTCGTCGTCCGTGCCCATCTCAACACAGGAGCCGGCCCAAGGGACTTGCGCTCGCGCTGCTTGCGCTCTGCGCGCTCAGGCTTTGGGGGGGTGATTGCGGCGGCAGCGTCGTAAATCCTTCGCCTGCTAATGGGGGTCAGCCTTTAGGAGTCAGGAAAAGGTCAGCTCAATTCCTTGGATTTTCCATGTTCGTGGCCACTTGAGTATCACAAATTATGTCGTCCTTGTTTATTCCTGGGCAACTCCTTTGGGCATTTCTGGCCCGGGCGTTTTTTTGGGTATTGTTTCTTAGTTTGCCCTTCGCTGACCCCGGCACACAGAAGACTAACCTCAATCACCATGCGAATGGGTAAAGAGTGGATCGAGACGCCACTCGTAGTCAGAGCTGCAATGGGGTAGGAGCGGCGCGCCCAGAAAGCTCGTCAGACTGCAGCTCGATCGCTGACGCGTCTCCTTGCAGAGCCCCATGGTCAAGGCGGTGTCGCATGCGTCGAACTCGGGCCTCCCAAGAGGATGTCCACCAGGAGCTTTGCCCGGGCTCTTTCGCGTCCAGATTGGTGAGACCTCTCAGGTAGGACGGCCGCATTATCACGCAGATGCGTTCTCCTTCCCCCCTGGAGGCCCCAGGAAGCCTCAGGATGCCTCATGGAGGTCCAGCCCCAGGAGGCTCCAGGAGGCTCCAGGAGGCCCCAGGAGGCCCCAGGAGGCTTTGGGAGGCCCCAGGAAGCTCTCAACGGCCCTACGTAGCTCCAGGAATCGGAAGAATATCTCAGCAGGCACTGGGAGGTCCCATGAGACCGCCATATCCCAAGAGGTCCCAGGAGGCTCCAGGAAGCCTCAAGAGGCGCCAAGAAACTGCCCGCAGGCGAATTCATTTGCGGTGTCTCACGAGGCGATGCGATTGCGCACTATGTAGGTTGGCTTGGCCATCTGGTTCGTAGTTTGATTCTATAGGCTTACGCCACATCCGCCGACCCCTTGATCGACTTGTGGATGTCGTGTTGCTGTCCTTGGGCGTACTTGTGTTGTTTTGTTTCTTTGGGTGGGCGGGCTCCTTCCGTGGACAGTAGCAGTGACGCGCGCAGAAGGGCACCCTGAAATGCAAGGCATGCAAATGATACCTATGCGAGCGCCGGTGCCACGATCCGTAAAAGTACGACCAACGGGGGTGAGAGCGAGAGGGGGGACGAAACCAATGAATGAAGAAAGCCAAGCAGGAGAAAGCGGAAGAGGAGGAGGAGGCGGGTGAGGGTGGGGGAGAGGCGGAGGAGGGTCATCGGAGGAGGAGGAGGAGAAGGAGGAGGGACGATTTGGTTTGGAGGCGTGTGCTCCTTCCTGTCTCTGGTGGCCTTTTGGAAAGATCTCCGACACTTCGGACAGCGTGTGCGTCGCCCTGGATGTCGAGACCCTGTGCAGGTGTCTGGGCCGTGCAATTTGTCATGAACGCCGGTCCAAACCGGCTTGGTAGGGGGTCAGAATTTGAGGGGTGTTTCGCGGGGTCTCTTCGGAGCGCTCTGGAGGCGGGGGCAATGTGAGATGGTGGAGGGGTACTGCGTGGTCAGTGCGTTTTTTTCGTGGCTGACTTTCGAAGTGTTCGTCGTGCAGACATGGAGAAATACCTGCGAACACCCGCGCTCGTTGACGGCAGGTCTCGGTTCAAAAACCAGACGAGTGGTTCTCGAATGGGTCGCGGCGCATCCCGCCACCTTGCTTGGGTTGCAGGTGTGCGGCCACACGGATGGTTAAGAGGATCTCGTGGGAGGCCGGACAGGGTCGTTTTGCGTGTATTTTTGGGGCCTTTGGGGAACTTCCTTGGAGCTTTTTGGAGGCCTCGGAGGTTTTCTGGGAGGTTCCTGAGGTCCTTTTGGGGTGTTCTTGGAGCAGGCTGGGGGCGTCTTGGGGCCGAAGGCTCGAAAAGGTGCCCTGGGGGCCCTCTTGGGCTGTCTTGGGGGCTTCGTGGGCTGTTGTTGGACCCTCTTCGACCCTGCTTTGGGCCCCTTTGGCCGTCCGGAGGCGATGTTGAAGTTTCCTGTGCATGTTTTGGACGTTGTGAAAACCGAATAGGCGAGCATGCGAACAAATGCTTGGTTTTCGACGGGAAATGGGCCGATTTCTGTTTCTTGCGACCCTCTTGGGGCGCATCTTGGGGGCCTTTTGGGGCGTCTTGGCAGCTTGGGAGTCCGCCTGGAGGCCATCCTGGGCGTCTAGGGGCGATATGTCGGCGAATCGTGGCCCCCGGGGACCGTCTGGGAAGCGTTTTGGTGCCTCTTTGACCAGTTTTGGGGCCCTCCGCTCCCCCGTGGCGCGTTCGGTCCGGGGTCGGGCTGGGCGAGGGGGGGGGGGGGGGGTCGAATTGCCGGTTTGGGGTCCCTGGGGGGGAATAGTGGGGGAGGGAGAATCTCACGCGCCTAGAGGCCCACAAGGGGTCGGCGGATATAGTCGGGGGTTTGGGGGTGAGTCCGACGTGAAACGGAGACCCCCCCTACCGGGAAATCGATTTCGGTTTCGGGTTCGTGTCGTGCGTGCCGTGCGTGCGTGCGCGCGAGGCGAAGCTGCGTGGGCGGGCGAGAGGAAATCCCCCTGTGTCTGGGCCGCGGCCGGACCAATTTTTTCTCCTCCGGCGGCCGGTGCCGCGCGGTGTCCCGCCGGTGTCCCGCTGGTGTCCCGAAATCCTCCTGTGGCTGGGCCGCGGCCAGACCAAATGTTTCTCCTCCGGCGGCCGGTGCCGCGCGGTGTCCCGCCGGTGTCCCGTGGTGTCCCGTGGTGTCCCGTGGTGTCCCGCTGAGTTCGATCGATCGTGAGATCGATAGTGATATCGATAATGAGATCGATGCGGTGCCCCGTGGTGTCCCGTGGTGTCCCGTTGACTGAGATCGATAGTGAGATCGATCGTGGGATCGACAGGTGTCCCGTGGTGTCCCGTGGTGTCTCGTGGTGTCCCGTTGAGTGAGATCGATAGTGAGATCGATACTGGGATCGATGTGGTGCCCCGTGGTGTCCCGTGGTGTCCCGCTGAGTGATATCGATAGCGATATCGACAGGTGTCCCGAAATGTCTCGTGGTGTCCCGTTGAATGACATCAATAGTGAGATCGGTCATGAGAGCGATAGTGAGATCGATGTGGTGTCCCGGGGCGTCCCGTGGTGTCTTATGGTGTCCCGCTGAGTGAGACCGATAGTGAAATCGATAGTGAGTCCGATAGTGAGATCGAGAGGTGTCCCGCGGTGTCCCGTGGTGTCCCGTGGTGTCCCGTTGAGTGAGATCGATAGTGATATCGATCGTGGTATCGATAGTGAGATCGATGTGGTGTCCCGACGTGTCCCTTAGCGTCCCGTGGTGTCCCGTTGAGTGATATCGATAGTGAGATCGATTGAGTCAGATGTTTGTTCCCCCCCCTTCCCCCCCCCAACCTCCTTATCGCCCGAATGGTGGTCGTATAGGTATGCACGGCCGGCTGCACAGGTTTATTAATCGCTTCGCTCATTCCGCCGGCCCATATTGTCGCACCGTTGTGGGCTAGCCGAGTTTTGGGGCCTCTTGGGGGCCGTTTTGGGGCCTCTTGGGGCCTCTTTTGGGCCTCTTGGGCGCCTCTTGGGGCTCTTGGGGGCCTCTTGGGGGCCTCTTGGGGCCTTTTTGGGGCCTCCTGCGCCTTCTGGGCGGAGGGTCGATTTTTCAGTTTCGGTTCCCCTCTTGAGCCCTCCTTGGCCGTCTTGGGGCCTCTTGGTCCGTCTTGGGCGGCACTGGGCCGTCTTGGATCCTCGTGGCGTCTTGTCGGTCTTGGGGGCCTCTTGGGCCGTCTTGGAGCGTCCGGAAGCCGAAAAAGCCAGAACGCAAAAAACATAAAAAAACAATGAAAATCAACGATTTTGGCCTCTTGGGGCCCTCTTCGGAGGCCTCTTGGAAGGCCCTTGGGGCGTCTTGGAGGCCTCTTGGGCTGTCTTGGGGCCCTGTTGGGCGTCTTCGGGCGATCTTTGGCCGTCTCGGGGCCCTCTTGGACCGTCTTGGAGGCTTCTTGGGGACCTCTTGGCCCGTCCTGGGGCCCTGTAACAGGGCTCCGGCATCTCTGGCCCGACCTTGCCGGGACCTTGCCGGGACCTTGCCGGGGTACTTTTCGTCCGGGGACCCCCAGGGGCCGCCCCGCGCGCGCGAACTAGAAATACTGTTAACCAGGTACCGGAGATCTTAGCACGCCTTGGCCCGTGAGGGCCAGGGCGTGCTAAGAAAGCCAATGAATGAAGAAAACCAAGCAGGAGAAAGCGGAAGAGGAGGAGGAGGCGGGTGAGGGTGGGGGAGAGGCGGAGGAGGGTCATCGGAGGAGGAGGAGGAGGAGAAGGAGGAGGGACGATTTGGTTTGGAGGCGTGTGCTCCTTCCTGTCTCTGGTGGCCTTTTGGAAAGATCTCCGACACTTCGGACAGCGTGTGCGTCGCCCTGGATGTCGAGACCTTGTGCAGGTGTCTGGACCGTGCAATTTGTCATGAACGCCGGTCCAAACCGGCTTGGTAGGGGGTCAGAATTTGAGGGGTGTTTCGCGGGGTCTCTTCGGAGCGCTCTGGAGGCGGGGGCAATGTGAGATGGTGGAGGGACACTGCGTGGTCAGTGCGTTTTTTCGTGGCTGACTTTCGAAGTGTTCGTCGTGCAGACATGGAGAAATACCTGCGAACACCCGCGCTCGTTGACGGCAGGTCTCGGTTCAAAAACCAGACGAGTGGTTCTCGAATGGGTCGCGGCGCATCCCGCCACGTTGCTTGGGTTGCAGGTGTGCGGCCACACGGATGGTTAAGAGGATCTCGTGGGAGGCCGGACAGGGTCGTCTTGCGTGTATTTTTGGGGCCTTTGGGGAACTTCCTTGGAGCTTTTTGGAGGCCTCGGAGGTTTTCTGGGAGATTCCTGAGGTCTTTTTGGGGTGTTCTTGGAGCAGGCTGGGGGCGTCTTGGGGCCGAAGGCTCGAAAAGGTGCCCTGTGGACTCCGTCTTGGAGCCGTCTGGGGGCTCTCTTGGGCTGTCTTGGGGGCTTCGTGGGCTGTTGTTGGACCCTCTTCGACCCTGCTTTGGGCCCCTTTGGCCGTCCGGAGGCGATGTTGAAGTTTCCTGTGCATGTTTTGGACGTTGTGAAAACCGAATAGGCGAGCATGCGAACAAATGCTTGGTTTTTGACGGGAAATGGGCCGATTTCTGTTTCTTGCGACCCTCTTGGGGCGCATCTTGGGGGCCTTTTGGGGCGTCTTGGCAGCTTGGGAGTCCGCCTGGAGGCCATCCTGGGCGTCTAGGGGCGATATGTCGGCGAATCGTGGCCCCCGGGGACCGTCTGGGCAGCGTTTTGGTGCCTCTTTGACCAGTTTTGGAGCCCTCCGCCCCCCCGTGGCGCGTTCGGTCCGGGGTCGGGCTGGGCGAGGGGGGGGGGGGGGTCGAATTGCCGGTTTGGGGTCCCTGGGGGGGAATAGTGGGGGAGGGAGAATCTCACGCGCCTAGAGGCCCACAAAGGTCGGCGGATATAGTCGGAGGTTTGGGGGTGAGTCCGACGTGAAACGGAGACCCCCCCTACCGGGAAATCGATTTCGGTTTCGGGTTCGTGTCGTGCGTGCCGTGCGTGCGTGCGCGCGAGGCGAAGCTGCGTGGGCGGGCGAGAGGAAATCCCCCTGTGTCTGGGCCGCGGCCGGACCAAATTTTTCTCCTCCGGCGGCCGGTGCCGCGCGGTGTCCCGCCGGTGTCCCGCTGGTGTCCCGAAATTCTCCTGTGGCTGGGCCGCGGCCAGACCAAATGTTTCTCCTCCGGCGGCCGGTGCCGCGCGGTGTCCCGCCGGTGTCCCGTGGTGTCCCGTGGTGTCCCGTGGTGTCCCGCTGAGTTCGATCGATCGTGAGATCGATAGTGATATCGATAATGAGACCGATGCGGTGCCCCGTGGTGTCCCGTGGTGTCCCGTTGACTGAGATCGATAGTGAGATCGATCGTGGGATCGACAGGTGTCCCGTGGTGTCCCGTGGTGTCCCGTGGTGTCCCGTGGTGTCCCGTGGTGTCCCGTTGAGTGAGATCGATAGTGAGATCGATAGTGGGATCGATGTGGTGCCCCGAGGTGTCCCGTGGTGTCCCGTGGTGTCCCGCTGAGTGATATCGATAGCGATATCGACAGGTATCCCGAAGTGTCTCGTGGTGTCCCGTTGAATGACATCAATAGTGAGATCGGTCATGAGAGCGATAGTGAGATCGATGTGGTGTCCCGGGGCGTCCCGTGGTGTCTTATGGTGTCCCGCTGAGTGAGACCGATCGTGAAATCGATAGTGAGTCCGATAGTGAGATCGAGAGGTGTCCCGCGGTGTCCCGTGGTGTCCCGTGGTGTCCCGTTGAGTGAGATCGATAGTGATATCGATCGTGATATCGATCGTGAGATCGATGTGGTGTCCCGACGAGTCCCTTAGCGTCCCGTGGTGTCCCGTTGAGTGATATCGATAGTGATATCGATTGAGTCAGATGTTTGTTCCCCCCCCTTTCCCCCCCACACAACCTCCTTATCGCCCGAAGGGTGGTCGTATAGGTATGCACGGCCGGCTGCACAGATTTATTAATCGCTTCGCTCGTTCCGCCGGCCCATATTGTCGCACCGTTGTGGGCTAGCCGAGTTTTGGGGCCTCTTGGGGGCCGTTTTGGGGCCTCTTGGGGCCTCTTTTGGGCCTCTTGGGCGCCTCTTGGGGCGTCTTGGGGGCCTCTTGGGGGCCTCTTGGGGCCTTTTTGGGGCCTCCTGGGCGCCTTCTGGGGCGGAGGGCTCGATTTTTCAGTTCTCGGTTCCCCTCTTGAGCCCCTCTTGGGCCCGTCTTGGGGCCTCTTGGTCCGTCTTGGGCGGCACTTGGGCCGTCTTGGGAGCCTCGTGGGCCGTCTTGGAGCGGTCTTGGGGGCCTCTTGGGCCGTCTTGGAGCGTCCGGAAGCCGAAAAAGCCAGAACGCAAAAAACATAGAAAAACAATGAAAATCAACGATTTTGGCCTCTTGGGGCCCTCTTCGGAGGCCTCTTGGAAGGCCCTTGGGGCGTCTTGGAGGCCTCTTGGGCTGTCTTGGGGCCCTGTTGGGCGTCTTCGGGCGATCTTTGGCCGTCTCGGGGCCCTCTTGGACCGTCTTGGAGGCTTCTTGGGGACCTCTTGGCCCGTCCTGGGGCCCTGTAACAGGGCTCCGGCATCTCTGGCCCGACCTTGCCGGGACCTTGCCGGGACCTTGCCGGGGTACTTTTCGTCCGGGGACCCCCAGGGGCCGCCCCGCGCGCGCGAACTAGAAATACTGTTAACCAGGTACCGGAGATCTTAGCACGCCCTGGCCCGTTGGGCCGGCGAATTTGATATCAATCAGGCGCCACGAGGCACCAGGATGCCAATTCGGTCGGTCTCAGGAGGCCGACGGAAGCCCTAAGATGGTTCGGGAGGCACCAGGAGGCCTCGGGATGCCTTCGCATGCTTACTCTTACCCATGCTCATATCAAACCCAGTCGCACCAATACCCACTCATATCCACACAAGCATGCCCAGTATGCCACACATTCAGTCCAGCTCAAGTTCAGTGGCTGACTCTCAGATGCTCCCGCTTTCGACATTAGTTGCCAGACCAGCTCATACTCATACTCACCGATCTTTCGTTGCTCGTGCTTTGACAGGCTCATACTGATAGGAATTCACACAAGGCTCACTCGTATCGTTTTCAGTCATACTCACATGCTTACTCATGCTCAGACCCAGTCGCACCCATACTAAGTACCTATACGACCACCCTTCGGGTGATAAGGAGGTTGGGGGGGTGGAGGGGGGGAACCAACGTCTGACTCAATCGATCTCACTATCGATCTTTCTCAGCGGGACACCAAGGGACACCACGGGACACCACGGGACACCACGGGACACTTGCCGATCTCACTATCGACCTTATTGTCGATCTCATTCAACGGGACACCACGGGACTCCGCGGGCCACCACGGGACACCACGGGACACCGCGGGACACCTCTCGATCTCATTATCGGTCTCACTATCGATCTCAGTCACCGGGACACCACGGGACACCACGGGACACCTCGGGACACCACATCGATCTCACTATCGATCTCACTATCGATCTCACTATCGATCTTACTCAACAGGACACCACGGGACACCACGGGACACCACGGAACACCTGTCGATCTCACCATCGGTTTCACTATCGAACTCACTTTTTGAGACACCACGGGACACCTCGGGGCACCACATCGATGTCACTATCGATCTCACTATCGATCTCACTATCGATCTTACGCAGCGGGACACCACGGGACACCACGGGACACTTGTCGATCTCACTATCGATCTCAGTCAACGGGACACCACGGGACATCGCGGGACACCTCTCGATCTCAATATCGATCTCACTGTCGATCTCACTATCGATCTCACTATCGATCTCACTATCGTCTCATTCAATGTGACACCACGGGACGCCACGGGACACCACGGGACACCGCGGGACACCGCGAGCCACCGCCGGACTGACGGACGTACGGGCGGGCGGGGGAAAATCATTTGTCTTGACTTCGCCCTAGCAACGGCGGACACCACGGGACACCACGGGACACCACGGGACACCGCGGGACACCGCGAGCCACCGCCGGACGGACGGGCGGGGGACAATGATTTGTCTTGACTTCGCCCTAGCAACGGCGGACACCAAGAGGCGCTCGCTCCTGGGACGGGCGCGGCGGCGCGGACTTGGTGACGAGGCCGACCAGGCGGGTGCCCGTCCCCGGGGTCTACGTCAACGCGGGCGCCAGGAGCACGGTGGGCCCCAGGCCGCCCCGAACAGAGACGGCGCCGTCCCCTCGGGTCCAGGCGTTGTTCTAGTCGGGCGCTGAAAGCTACAGTCAGCCATGATAGCAAGGATGGGGCAGCTTTCCAAGGCTACCCCTGCATCCTTGCCCCGTCGGTATTCGGTCTCCTTCGGCATTCTGCTGCGCTCCGCACGGAAAACGTCAACATGGCGTTCCAAGGCCCTTGCATCCTCACCGCGCATCCTTACTATCCTGGTCGAGTGTATACACATCCGCTGCTCCCTGGCCAGGCCCATCCTGAACCCAGGAGCTGTTGTGCGCCCTCCTGGCCGAGCCAAGAGGGTGTGGCGTATACGCGGCTCCTGGGTTCAGGATGGGCCTGGCCAGGGAGAAGTGGATATGTACAGCTTTCGGCGCCCCTCTGGGCCTCGCAGATGGGGTCGGAGTTGATGGAGTCGGAGGATCGCGCCGCATCGCCGACGCATCGGCGATGCGGCTCGAAGCCGAGCCGGATATTCTCCACGCCGAGGTCACCGATTCATCGCCGACGTCGCGGATGTATCGCCGACGCATCGGTGCTGCATCGGCGGTGCGGCGCGATCCTCCGACCTCATCTGGGATGCCTCTGGATGTCTTCAAGACTTTTCTCTCTGGTGTGGGAGGCCCTTACGTCTGCGGGGCGACGTCTGGGCGGCTCGGTTCTCCAGGTCACCCTCTGGGCCGCGGCCTGGGCGGGCGAGGTGCCGTTCTCCGAAGAGGCGGCGCGAGGGCACGAAGATAGCCGCGCGTCGCGCATCGGGGGGCGCGATGCGCGAAGTTGGGTGACCCAGGCTTTCTCGGCTGCATCTCTTTGGATGTTGAGTTCAGCATCGGCGCTGGTGCATCCGTGGCCGAAGGTCGTCAGAGTTCGGCCTGATACCGTTTTACCCATCTGAATCCCCCAATCTGGGTTTCTCCTGGAGATATCGGATGTGATCCAGCGCTTAACGGTCCCCTAGTCGGGCCCAGTAGCCCCGAATCGTTCCCACGAATAATACCTCCCAGGAGTTGCCCTCCAAGATTTTTGGGCCCGGCAGCTCAGTGTCCGAGGCGGGGACTTACCCATCACCACCACCCGGAGATGGATACACCTCCGCCTCACACAGTGCTCCCAGACTGGTCGAACAATCGGCACCAGCTTAGTATGATCGGGTGCTCCAAGCGGTCCGGTCGGCGGAGGAATGGAGTCTTCGGGCGCATCTTTTTTTCAAGGGGGCCTGTCTGGCGCCAGAGGGGATCTGTGGCCGCAGGACGTCAGGTTCTGCGTCCAGGCCTTCCGAATGGGGTCCGAGTAGATGGGGTCGGGTGATCGCGCCGCATCACCGATGCCTCGGCGATACGGCTCCATCAGGAACCCGATTCTCTCCACGCCCACATCGCCGATGCGTCGGGGATGCATCGGCGATGCGGCGCGAGCCCCGACCCCATCTACTCGGATCCAACCTGTGAGGCCAAAGGGTATCCACAAGATCGCTTCATTCTCCGCCTCCTCCATCCCTTTGCTTGATACCCAGCCCCCTTTCGTCACATCACCGGGCGCGTCGGCAGGTCGGGCAGGGGAGCTTGGCTGAAACAGCTGCACGGCCACTGGTCCGGAAGCTTTACAGATCCAACAGGTAAACGTATGGAAGGCTGAACGTCTTGTACGTGTGCAGATACGTTGCTCTCGCTTTAGCGCTGCGCGCATGTGCCTGAAAGCTTCCAACAGGTTCGCGTTTGCGTGAGGAGGGGGCAGTGGGGATGGTTTCAGGTATGGTTCTAGTACTGGCGCCATGCAGCACACTCGTCGCATGGATGTACCGCGGTTCCTTACAAACATGGGGCGCTCGCTGGAGACTTTCTCAGTCCTGATGACCCACAGCTTGATCCATGGCTGCCTTTCACAGATGTCGCAGGCCTAGAAGTTGACACCAACACCAATGTCGGCGGTGTGCCTCCACCGAGGGAAGACGATCCCGATCTCGGTGATGGTGGTACTATTCTGGCTTCCAAGGTGACCGGAATGTTACCACCGACGCTGAAATCTGAACAACTTAGCGAACACTCATGCCACATTCATCTGTCAACGCCTCCCCCCCCACTGTTCAAAGTTGGTGGTGGGTCTGATGAGATGCACTTCGACCGCAGTCTCCCCCGCGCGTGCCAACGCTGAGTTTGGGGGGGGAGGGGGAGTGTTCAGTAATTGTTTCCCTCTACCGTAGGACCATCTTTCCCCTGTGGAGGCAAGCCCCCCTGTGCTGGGTGCCAATCTCCAGGCCTCCAAAAATGGAGGACGCTCCATCTCAGAAGGCAGGGAGGAACCGACGCAGAGCCCCCAGGGACGCCACCCCCTCTCCTGCTGCTTTTACCTTCTCCATCCTCACCGCTCTGCCCCGTCCTCCAGCCTCCCTCCCACCCTCCTCCTCCTCCTCCTCCTCCTCCTCCTCCTCCTCCTCATCCTCCTCCTCCTCCACCCGCGCCCTCCTTCGCCTTCTCCTCCTCCTCCTCCTCCGCTGTTGGCCCTCTTCCTCGGAGCGGGCCCCTCGCCTCGCGGCTTCCCTGCGCTGCCCGAGCCGCGCCCCTCGCCGCAGCGGCCGCGGAGCGGTCGCGGGGCACGGCGGGCCCCTCGGGGCGCGCGCCTCTCCAGGGGCCGCGGCCCGCGGGGGAGGAGTGCGCGCCGTGCAGCTCCAGCTCTTCGGAGGTTCTCTGTTCTCTCTTTTGGGGGGCCAAGATCCTCTCACTTCTGATTCTTCTGTCCTGGGCCTCTTCCTGGCCACTAGGCCACTAGGGGGCCGGGAGCAACCAGAGACGAGCACAATTTTGAGATGAGCACGACTAGACATGAACGACGTGTACCCGCAGGACTGCGTGGGGAGGGGAAGTGTTGGATCGGGAGGGTGTGTGGCAGCATCGTTGATACATCCTGGGTTCACTGGCCTCACTCCTGCTCCTTCTCCTCCCCTTCTGTCCCCCCTGGAGGTTCTTTCCCCCCGGATTAGGCTTGGCTTCAGGGATTGTCTTTGTTTTGTGAAGGACGCCAGTGGGTGCACGGGCGTTGCTCGGGGTTGCCCGAGGTTGCCTGGGGTTGCCAAGCAACGCCGCGCAATGCAATGCCAACACATGCTAAGACATGCCAAACAATTCTGAGCAATGCCGAACAATCTCAAACGATGCCAAGCAACGCCACGCAATGTCGCGCAATGCTAAGCAATACCACGCACTGCAAATTAGCGCAATGACAAGCAATGTCTAACAACGCAAAGCAACGCCATGCAATGCCAAGCAATGCCTCGCAACGCAACGTGATTAAAAGCAGCGCCAAGCAAAGCAATGCCAACCAATGCCAAGCAATGCCAAGCAATGCCAAGCAATGCCAAACAGGGCCAAGCAATGCCAAGTATCGCAACGCAACGCAATGCCATTCACTGCCAAGCAATGCCAATCAACTATTCCAAGAAACCCCAAGCAATCCCACACATGGCAGCGCAATGCAATGCAATCCAATGTCAAGCACTGCCACGCAATTGGCATCTATACCACGCAATGTAACGCAACGCAGCGCAATACCAAGCAACACCAAACAATGTCTCCAAGTAATGTTGCTCAACGCCAAGCAATGTTAATTCAATGCCGCGCAGTGCCCCGCATTGCCACGTAATGCCATGCAGTGCCGAGCAGTCCACATTGTTTTAGCAATGTCAGGCTATGTCAAGCAATTCAGAGAAATGCCAAGCGACGCCAATCTACGTAATGCAGGCATAACGCTCCAAGTAGTGCCACGCAATGCCAATCACCGCAAATCAACGCAATGTCTAGCAATGACAAGCAATGCCAGGCGACGTCAAGCACTCCCAAGCAACGCCGCGCAATGTCAAGCAGCGCCGATCGATGCCAACTAATGCCAAGCAATGTCAAGCGACGCCACACAATGACAACCACTGTCACGCGATGCCAGAAGGCGCCACGCAATGCCAATCACTGCCACGCAACGCAGCGCAATGCAACGCAATGCCAAGCACAGTCAAGCACTGCAACGCATTGCAAGCCAAGCAAGGCCAAGCAACGATTTCACTCAATGCCAAGAAATGCCACGCGGTGCCAAACGACGCCACGCAGTGTCGGGCATTGCCAAGCAGCGCAACGCTATGCCACGCAATGCCAAGCTATGCCACGCAATACACATGTATGCCAAGCACTACCAAGCAATGCCACGCAATGCTTTGCACTGCGTGGCTTTTCATTGCTCAGGGCTGCTTCGACTTGCTTCGGACGAAAGAAATATCAGGACCGCGTTGCGTTTATTGGCACTTTTTATAGCTTATGCATCTACCACGTAGCTAAAGACATTGCGCGTAACAGTAAGGTCGGGCTTTGGCTGTGCTCCCAGAAGCTTGATGTGGCTACAGCCGCATCAGGCACGATGCCCAACGATTTCTCCTTGCTTCCTCCCCCGCTTAACGTAACACGGTCCCACAGGTGGCTGAAACATGCTGCTCGGTGTCGGGCATCGTGAGACGTCGAATCCCTCTGTGCTGACGCTCCTCCTCCTCCTCCTCCTCCTCCCTCTCCTCCGCCCCTCACGCTGTCGGGATCTTGGGGATGGAGGGCCGCCTGGAGGAGTCCCGGAAGTCAGGTGGCAGGGCGTTTGTCGCCCTTCCCTCGCCGCCAAGCCATGCGTGGGCATGCACCAGCGCCTAGGGGCAGGGGATGAGCCGAGGGAGGCCGGGGAGAGGCAGCAGGACGAGGGGTATGGGCAGGCTGCCAGGTGTGATGCGAGCGAGCCTGGCCCCCCCCCATCTCGCTGTGGCGTCCAGTCAACGCCTCTGCACACCGCCTTCACCCGACCAGAGGCGGGCCGCAATCAGACCGTGTACGACTCCCTCTGGTATCGACAGGGTCGGTATGCGCGAGAGCGTGCTCGTGCCTGCGACATGTCGGGGAGGCTGTCGGCGGTTCTGCGCCATATCTACTTGAATCTATTCTTGTAGTGCCCTCCGGAGGAGAGAGGAATGGGTGGTGAAGGCGCGCGGATGCGATCTGAAGCACCTCTTCCTGGGGCAGCCTCCTCAGCGCATCACGTTGGTGCGGAAGGACCAGGACACACGGGAGAAGAACACGCACATATGAAACTGCAGTTTCGCTGCGCTTCTCGTGTGTGTGTGTGGTGTGGGGGCGGGAGGGGAAGAACGGGACGCCGTCTCGGGCGCAGTGTCATTATGTCTCGGCAGGACCTTTCAGAGACGCTGAAGATCACAAAGGCTGGGGCGTGCAAGTCCTGGGGCGAAGAGGGCAGCACCCAGGTGAGGCAGATTGCAGACAACAAGATCGAAGTAGTCGACTTTGTAGGCGAGCTCATGCCGCTGCGGCTGGAGCGGCGACCTCCAGCATGCCAACTGCTCAAGATGGTGTCGCCGTTGATTCAAGAGGCCGACGCCACAGCTACCAGTTCCCTCACATACACGTGGCTGATTTTTCAGTTTCGCCCGCGGGGCAGACAATGCAAGCAGCCACAACGGCCGCGCAGTTGGCCCGGGCCGCCCCAGAGACACTCCCACCTTTGGCCCATGCGGAAAGAAGGGGCACGAAGACCGGCAGCAGTTCTTGTTCATTTTGAACAGGGCTCGCTGTCGGCGTCGCCGCGGACGTTGTCCACTTGAGGCATCGGGCCGCCCGCCCGAGAGCGGCCGCTGTTGCGCATCGTGCCCACTCTGCCCGTGCCCACCTCGAGCGTCCACACTCGGGCGGCGGGGGCCGCCTGCACTGCACGACCGCCGCCGACCCCCGTCGCAAGGAACCTCGGAGAGCCCCTCGGGGGAGGACCCGTGGCGCCCTCGGGAGTCGGGCCGGGCGAAAGGGGGGGATTGGGAAAGGGGGGGTTACGAAATCAGCTGCATGCAGCTGGATTCGGCCCCACCGAGGGGCCCATTCCTCGATACGTAGCCGCCTCCGGCGCCGGGAGGCGCCGGGAAAATCAGCTACGTGAGCTGATTCTTAAACCCCCCCTTTGCTATCCCCCCCCTTCGCCCGGCCCGAGGGAGGAGCTCAGGGCTCCGAGGGCCACAGAGCGCTGCCGGGGCCCTCTCCTCGGGAACCCGCGGCTCGACCCGCCAGCTCGGCGGCGACGTCCGAGCCCCACCCTCGCAGATCAACGACGAGTCGGGCAACCCGATGGGCGGCGGGGGCGGGGTTTGGCATCTTGGAGCACGTGGCGAGCTCCGAGCCTACCTCCTCCTCGTCGTCCTCCTCCTCCTCCTCCTCCTCCTCCTCCTCCTCCTCCCCCTCCTCCTCCTCCTCCTTCTCCTCCTCCTCCTCCCTCCTCCTCCTCCTCCTCCTCCTCCTCCTCCTCCTCCTCCTCCTCCTCCTCCTCCTCCTCCTCCTCCTCCTCCCCCTGGGGCGACCGAAGGAGGAGAAGGAGGAGGAGGAGGAGGCGGAGGAGGAGGAGGAGGAGGAGGAGGAGGAGGAGGAGGAGGAGGAGGCGGAGGTGGAGGCGGATGCGGAGGCGGAGGCGGGGCTCACGCGGCGGGGTCCGTGCTCACGGGGGCCAGCCAGCCCCCCCCGTGGTTGACCCGGGTCTGGGAGCCGCCCAGGGCCGATTCGGCTTTGGCCACCCTCCGATGACCTGGGCTTGGCTGCCACTCAGCGGCCAGCCGGGCTTCGCAGCAGAGCCTGGCCGACCCGGGTTCGGTTCGCCCCGACGGGGCTCGAAGGAGCTGCTCGGTGCCGTCGGAGGGGCCATGGGGTGTCGGCGGGAGGGGCGGGAGCGCCCATGGGGCGAGTCCGCGGCACCTGAGCGCATCGACGACGCTCGCGCAGCGGGGAGCTATTCTATCCCTCCCTCCTTTCGGGGAACGTTAGGCTCGAGTTTGCCAACGTCTTTCGACGAGCGCATCCTGGATTTTGGCGGTCCAGTTTTCGTGGTATGTTGGCAGCGGGAGCTCGCGTCAAATTTCAGAGTAAGTCTCGTCATTTTCATGGATCGCCCCGTCAGGCCAACCCGAGTCCCCCGAACCCGAGTCTTCCGTCGCCCTCCCTCCTTTGCATGCCCTCCCTTCAGGGGCGCATCCTCCCGACATCGGGGGCGAGAGCCCCAGTTCGGACTGAGGCGAGCCTGGAGGCGGCCTGGCGGCGGCCGAACACCGCCACCCTCCTGCCTTTTGGCGCTCCCATCCGTGCACTCCGATTGGAGGGGCCGAGGCACGGGGTGCGGCAGGTGCTTCGGCCGCACGCCCTTTCGTTTTCCTTTCTCTCCTGCACATCGTGCATAGCAAAACGTCCAAAAACGTCGCTTCATTCCGAGGCAGTGTGAGAGGGGTTGGATCAGGGGCGATGCATCGACCCCCAACCGCCCACTCATCGCGGATCGGGATCCTATGGCCCACCCCGCCCAGGAACGTGCGGACATTCCCTATCATGGGCCTGTTGCCGATCTATCGGCGACTTATCGCCGATTCCAGGCCGGCGTTCCCCCCCACCATGGGTGAGTCCCTCCCTCACGACTCACTCGTCCTTGCCCTTCTCCTTCCTTCCCTCCCGTAACGGGGGGGGGGCGCAATTTGCCTCCCCCCCCGTGCGCGGGAGCTCTTGCAAGCACCGATGAAGACACGAGTTGGTCAAGGAATCGAGACACGCATGGCCAGTGATTGGTGGGCAGGGTGGGCACGCTTGCGCGAGCGAGCAAGCGTGCGCAACTGAACGCGAGCACGCGCGAACGCGCGCATGAACACACGAGTGCGTGCGTTAGTTTGCTTCACAGGTGGTCCGCCCCGAAATCTCAACAACGCTTTCAGGCGTGAGTGGCCTCAGGACCCGTTCTTCCAACCTCCACTGGTCCCTGCCTGGTCCTGATGCGATCCCGTCGCTGTGCCACAGCAGTGCTGCCGCTGTGCAGCCGCCCTCAGCCGCTTCGCTGCGGCTGTCCCTTCCTTCCTTCGCCTCGGCATCATGGCCGCACCGCTGTCCCGCGGCTGTCCCGCGCGCTCCTCTCTGTGCAGGGGAGGTTAGCTTCGACGGACGCAAGCCGCGGCCGCCCCCAGCGCACGGGACAGCGGGGTCTGGGCAGGTGTGCAGGGGGGCAGCCGACGGCAGTTCTTGGGGGGCCAAGACCGCGTGGACGAGCACAACACCAGAATAGGAAGCTGGCTGGCCGTCGCAGTTCTGCGGGAGCACGCCGAGCTTTTCGGCCCGGCGCTCCACTTCCAATCCAGTCTTTTTGTCCTTCCCTCCCTCCCCTTCCTCGTGTGCGTGAGGGGGGTCAGTCTCGCACGCCTTGGCGAACCCGGAGGGGCTCGGAGGATCATCTTGTTCGCTGTTGCGCTCGTTGCGCTGCACCTGAAGAAATACGACACTTCCAGTCCCATCTTCATCGCCGTGGCTGCTTGCAGCATCGCCATCCTGCTGGCGAAGGCGGGGTCGATGTCCATCCGATCGATCCGATTCAACATCGATTCCGGCGGGCTCCGTCCGAATCGGTTCCGAGGTTCCTACGATCCTAGAGGAGGAGGACGAGGAGGACGAGGAGGGCGAGGAGGAGGAGGAGGACGAGGAGGAGGAGGAGGAGGAGGAGGAGGAGGAGGAGAACGAGGAGGAGGAGGAGGAGGAGGAGGAGGAGGAGGCGGAGGAGGAGTAGGAGGAGGAGGAGGATGCTGCATGGTGCTGTTGTGCATTCTGGCGCGCCGGATGCGACTCGATGTGGAGCCCGTGCCGATGCGGCCCCATCCGGCGTACGTTCCGATTCGATGCTGCCTCCTCCTCCTCCTCCTCCTCCTCCTCCTCCCCCCCTCCCCCCCCCTCCTCCTCCTCCTCCCCGTCCTCCTCCTCCTCCTTCTCTCCTCCTCCCCCTCCTCCTCCTCCTCCTTCTCCCCCTCCTCCTCCTACCCCTCCTCCTCCTCCTCCTCCTCCTCCTCCTCCTCCTCCTCCTCCTCGATCGGGGGAGCCACCCGTTCCCTCGGCTGACTGACCCGGAAAGGCGGGCGTGGACATGGTGCGTCTCGTGGAGCTCCTTCAGGACTTGTTCCACGGGTGCGTGTGGAAGGTATTCTCCATCACCACTTCCGCCGTCCCCGTGCTGATGTGCCTGTTCGACATGTTGGAACAGGGTGGTGGGATGCTACAGAAATGTGTGTATACCTCAAGTGCAGTGTTCATAGCGGCTCTTCCACAGCATACGTCGGCTTGTCCTACACAGTTGCATTTTTGTATAGACAGATATTCACATTTACATGCACACATACATGTGTGTACATATCATTACAAGTCTTAAACTCGTATGCGTACATACCACGCCTGCATGTCGATCGTGACTGTTTTGTATTTGTTCGTTTTCGCCTCCGATATCATGTCATCTGTACGATGTACGCGATTGCACAGGTATTCGACGTTGTCATGATCATGACCGTCCATGATTTGGTATAGTGTGGACCAAGTCACGGCGAGCCCCGGGGGAAAACGAGAACGTAAACTTGCGACTCAGACAGTGTTCGGATATTTGGCGTCGGGACGCTGGGGGCTGAATGCAGCAGCTCTTCTCGGGGCCGTTTCAGGGCATTTCTGGCGGTCTTGGGCGGTCTTGCAGCTGTTTTGGGGCCGCCTTGCGAGCCAGCCGGTGGCTTCTGGGTCCATTTAGGGGCGCTCTTTGTGGGGGCCTCTTGGGCCGTCTTGGAGTCTCTCGGGGGCCCAGGGCCCATTTTGGAGCTGTCGACGCCAAGAAGCGAGGGGTGCCAGACGTGTGCGAACAGACTGATGGCTACTTCGGGGCCCTTCGCGGAGCCACCTCGGAGCCCCCCGTGGTCTCGTGGGAGCCATCCCCGTGCCAGCCTGTCGCCAGTTGGGCCCGTCAAGGGGTGTTCAGCAGTCCTCGGCGCTCTTGGGCTCCGTCTACCTCCTCCCTCTCCCTCTTCCCCAAGGACGACCCCAGGGGTCCTTGCCTTGGCAGGGCCACGGGCGTCCTCGGGGCCGCCCGAACGCCTGCACCACGCGCCGTGCGTCCGCTGCGTCTGACCGCCATGCCCGCGGGTGCCGTCTCGAGGCCCGGGGCCGCCGGGAGACACCTCCGGGCATCCCGCAGGAGGAGCCGATGGAGAGCGGGGTGCCCGAGAGTGCGTGCGCGGGTGCCCTGCAAGTTGCCCGGGCCAGCCATCTGAGTGCGCTCGGCCGCCCCCGGCATGCAGCCAGCACGCAGGTTGCTTGTGTCAGTATCGTTTCGTTGACCCCTACAATCGGGGCGCTGAAGAAGGAACCCTTTTCGTTGGGGAGGGGCTCCGCGTTCCTTAGTGTTTCACAGCTTGCCTCAGGTTGTCCTTACGTTTTCGATCGGAAATCGAAGTTTAACTTATGGAAAAATGGGGCCTCGTTCCTTATTTAGGGTTCCTTAGGTCAACGCCCCGACTGTATATCCCCATCCCCGTCCCTGTCCAGACCTCCACCGTCTCAGCGCCCCAGTTGGGGATCTACCCCTCGAGGCCCGAAGGAAGCAAGCCTGTATCCCCACCTAGGTGGGTACATCGGCCAGTGGGGCCGAGGCCACGCTCACGGGGATAGGGGTCAAACGATGCTTATTTTGGGACCCCGCGCTGGAGTCACAGCGGGCCTCCAGGATCGCAGGCGATTAATCGACACCAATTCCCGAGCTCCGCCCGAAAAAAGGGGCCGCTCAGAAGTCAGGGAAACTCGGGGATACACCCCCGGGTGGCTATCTGGACGCACCCCCGTCGAGGATTGATGCCTGGACGCCCCCCTTCGCATATCCCCGTGTTCGGCCTCAGACTTTCGGTCCAGTCGAGAACTCTGCAGGTCGGCGTGCCCCCGATGGCTCCTCGAGACTCTCGAGAACTCCTGCAGGTCGAGCACTCCTCGAGACTCTCGGTCCAGTTGGATTGAGGTCGCCGTGCCCCCGGTGGCAGGGGGAGGCGAGCATGCGGATCTGCGACCCAGTGAGTGTTCCAGCGTGCCGTCCCGAGACGCTCTTGGCCCAGCACGCGTCGCCGCGCCGTTCGCTCCGACGCGCGGCCTCACGCCTTGGAGAGGGCGCGCCGCGGCCACCGGGGCAGGCTCCGCCCATGGGCGCGGTGGGCTCGCCGTGGGTCTGCCGCGGTGCCGGCGGTCTCCCTGGAGCGCGGGGCGCAGGGCTTGCCGTGGGTTCCCCGAGATCCGACGTCGCGAAGAAATCGAAGCACTGTGAAACACCATCAGGGGAACAAAAAGTGACATGAACATAAAAACTCGGAGGTCCGCGCGGATTTCTCGGATCGGCGCTGTACCCCCCTCCCTGGCGCGCGGATCGCGCCAGGGGCGGCGCCGGAGGCGCCGCCGGGGGGGCCCAGCGCCGATCCGAGAAATCCGCGCGGACCTCCGAGTTTTTATGTTTATGCCACTTTTTGTTCCCCTAACCATGGGGTGACCGAAGCCCCAGGCCCCATCACTCCGCGGCATTCTTCAAGATGGATCGATCTGTGAGGGTCCCCGGGCTCGAAGCTGGGCGAACACGCTTTGCCGTGGTGCCGGCGCCGCTCGCGTGGGCGCGTCGAGGCAAAGTGGGACACAGGAGCTTGTCTTAAGTCGGGCCTGTCCCCCCTACAGGGGGAATTTCAACGAAAAATAAAGAATACCCCAGAAGTAGTCAAAAAGTAGTCAAACAATAGTCTGGGGACTATTCTTAAAGTATTTTTTGACCTTCTTGGGTTTCTTTTGGTATTTTTTATTTCTCGTCGAAAATTCCCCTGTAGGGGGACACGCCCGACATAAAGCTTGTCTTCAGGCCATCCCGGGGCCGTTTCGAGATCCTCCCGGGGCCCTCGCGGGCTGTCTTTGGCGTATCTTGGAGCCCTCTGGGGGCCATCTTGACGTCCCTTGGTGGTCCACACGCCGTTTGGGGCGGTCTTAAGGGCAGCGGGGCCATCTCGGGGGCCTCTGCTCCCACCTGGCGGTCATCTTGGGAGTCCCCTGAGCTTTCTGGGGGTGTCTCGGGGGCCTCTCGATCATGCCTGGCGGCCTCTCTGAAGCCCGTCTTGGAGCCACCTGAAGCCCACGAGTGAGGAGCACGAGTCTTAAGTCGGGCGTGTCGCCCTACAGGGGGACTTTCGACGAACAATAAAAGATACCCCCTAAATAATCAAAAAATAATCAAAAAATAGTCCAGGGACTATTTTTTGCATATTTTTTGACATTTTTGGGGCATTTTTTGAGTATTTTTTCTTTTTCGTCGAAAATCCCCCTGTAGGGGGACACGCCCGACATAACACGAGTCAGGCTAAAAAGCACCATTCGGGCTTCATAATGTTCGCTTCTCGGGATCTGCCGCACGTGCCGGCTACGCGCGCCGCCGACAGCAGCCCCAGCCTTCACGCCCACGGTGCCCCCTCCTGCAGGGCTGCAGCCGCGCGCCCTGCAGGCCGTTGACTTCGGCCTGGCGCGAGTCGGAATGCGACTCTTTGCAGGCCACGTCGGCGAAGGGTGTCTTTGAGGGCCGGGCGTGGGGCTGCGCGGGCTGGGCAACGGGCTGCCCAGGACGGTCGACGTCGGGCTGGGCAACGGGCTGAGCGATGGAGCGCACGGGCTGGGCGTCGGCGTGGACGTCGGGCCGGCAACTCCGGAGCCGCTCGATCACGGTAAGGCAGCCGGGCGGGGCGTCAGGCTGTCGCTCGTCGCATGCCGTGCAGCGGCCGCGACGTGCTGCCTCCGTTGGGCGACTGCCTGCCATCCGTCGCGGCCATTCTACGGTCGGCCTCCCCCCGCACCGCCGGCACAGCCTGGCCGCGCGAGCGCGCGCGCTACCCAGGCTCCAGGCGCTCGATAATTCACCGAGCGCGTTCCACGACTCGCAAAGTGCCTACTCGCAAACGCCCGAAAAACACATGGCGATCCCCGGCGGGGGATCCCCGCCAATTGCGAGTAGTTCCTTTGCGAGTAGTGGAACGCGCTCGTCGACTGTTGAACGCAATCATCCAGCTTTCGCGCCTGAGATCGCTGGAAGCCGCCGAAGGCCGCCGGAAGCCGCTGAAGACAGTCGGACGACCGCCGGAGACCGCCGAAGACCGTCTGAAGGCCCGCCGGAGACCGCCGGAGACCGCCGAAGACGGAGCGATGTGAGCAACAAGAAGTCCATTGTCGAATACGTAACAGTTGTGGAGGACGATCAATGGAGAGGAAGCATGCTGCCAGATAGTTTCCAGATGCCTAAAACATTTGCTAAACATGCCTTAAGCATGTAAAATCAGGTTCAAAACATGTTCAGAACATGTTTCCGACATTTTAAACACATTCTAAATTCAAAGATAGGACTGTCGCCGGTCTAGAGATTGACATCAACACCAATATCGGCGGCGTGCATCCACCGAGGGAAGACGATCCCGATCTCGCTGATGGTGGCAATATTCTGGCTTCCAAGGTGGCCGAAATATTGCCACCAACACCGAAAATCTAGGATCGTCTTCCCCTGTGGAGGCAACCCCCTGCGTTGATGTTGGTGCCAATTTCCAGGCCTCCAATGATAGGACTGTTAGGGTGTCCATCGTCGTGGCATCCACGACGTAACAGGCCGTGTCCGCACCGGGCGCGAGGCCGCCTCTGCGGTCCGCAGGCGCGCCGGCACCGCCGGAGGTCGCCAGCGGCAGTGCCTCCGATGGCTCGGGGGCAACGCTTTGGGTGGACAGCAGGGTCCCATCGCCGATCAATCGTTAAGTCGGGCCTGTCCCCCTACAGGGGGATTTTCGACGAAAACTAAAAAATACACCCAAAATAGTCAAAAAATAATCCAAAGATAGTCTGGGGACTATTTTTTGAATATTCTTGGACCTTTTTGGAGTATTTTGGTTTAGAAAAAATCAGTCGAAAATCCCCCTGTAGGAGGACACGCCCGACATAACGCTCGGGGTGGACAGCAGGGTCCCATCGCCGATCAATCGGCGACGTATCGCCGATTCCAGGCCGATGCTTGCCTGCCCCCTGAGCTTAAGTCGGGCCTGTCCCCCTACAGGGGGATGGGATTTTGGACGAAAACTGAAACATACTCCAAAAATAGTCCAAAAATAGTCCAAAGATGGTCTGGGGACTATTTTTTTGAAGTATTTGTGGACCTTCTGGGGGTATTTTTGGGGTATGTTTAATTTTCCGTTGACAATCCCCCTGTAGGGGGTGCAGGCCCGACATAACGGTAGTGCCTCCGATGGCTCAGGGGCAACGCTCGGGGTGGACAGCAGGGTCCCATCGCCGATCAATCGGCGACGTATCGCCGATTCCAGGCTTTTGTCGGGCGTGTCCCCCTACGGGGATTTTCAACGAAAAATGAAAGATACCCCCCAAATGCCCCAAACAAGCCAAAAAATATTAGAAAAATAGTCCCCAGACTATTTTTGGATTATTTTTTGATTATTTTTGGGGTACTGTTTATTTTCCGTCGACAGTCTCCCTGTAGGGGGGCAGGCCCGACCTAAACGTATCGCCGATTCCAGGCCGATGCTTGCCTGCCCCCTGAGCCCGTCAATGCTTCCGACGGCCCCGACCTCACCCGCGGGCCCTCCCCATCAATGCCGCCGACGGCGCTGACCTCGCACGCCGGGCGGGCGAGCGGCGCTGCGGCCGCGGCCAGGTCATGAGGGTGCAGGGCAAGGGAATGCGATGCCAGCGCCCGAGCTGCGAGGGTGTGCCTGGCGAGGGCTGCCCGGCGAGGCCGGCAGCGGGCGGGGCTGAGGAGGCGAGGACGCGAGGGGCGGAACCTCCTCGTCACTCGTATGCGCTGAGCGGGCTTCGGCCGAGCGGGCCGCCCATCCGTTGACGTGCGGCCCTCGGCGCGCCACATCCTGGGGCGGGATGCGCTCGCTCGGGCCGCGGAGGTTGCCCCCTGGCCCGGGTCCTGCGGCTGGTGCCTCGTCGCAGGTGCCCCGCTGCAGCCGCGCCCCTGTCACGGCCGCGAGACAGCAGTCTGCCCGCGGCCACCGGCCCCGCCCCGTGCCAGTGGCACACTCGCGCTGAGGCCCCCGGCTTCGTGTCCTGCCCGAAGCGCAAGACGTCCACGCCTCCGCGCACGCCGTTCAGGGCATCGGCCCGCGCTGAAGCCAGGCCAGCTCTGCGCGGCAGGGCCTGGGCCGCAGAGCGCAGTCGCTCTGCGGAGGGCCAGGGTGCACATGGCCACGAGGCGCGCGACCATGCCGCACCGTGCCCTGCGGGATTGGACCAACGTGGCCAAGTGCTGGCTCAGGCGTGCTCTCGAGGGCGAGCGCCGCCGCAAGCATGCGCCCACCGCGAGAGCACTCCCCGCGGACCTCGCCCAGCAAGAGGTCTTGTCTGCGGCCCTTGCCCTCCAGCGTACGGGGATATCGTATGCCACGCACCGTCTCCCTGGCGTCAGCCTGCCCACCACTGCGTGCCGCTCGCGCCCGGATCGAGGTGCCAATGCTGCACCCACGTCGATATGTCTCAGTGGCGTGTGCATTAGATCCCCTCTGCGGGGCAGGTTCCTCCACCGTGATCTGGGGCAGCGCACATGATCATCGCCCTCCAGCCTCGCATGGCTGGGTCTGCACCGAGTCCGCGCGCCACGGCTGCCTGGCCAGTGGCTTTACCAGCAGCAGCGCGCTCGAGTGCGAGGACGAGCGCGCCTCGCTCGGCATGCCCGCGCGGGCCGCCAGCTCTCGCGGCGGCGGCGGCCCTGCCTGCATCCCCTCTGCCGTGCCAGTCCTGGGCGGCCCGTCGCTCTGCGGGCCGATGCCCCAGGCGACGAGGCCGCTGCTGAGGAGGCCCCCTGCCGCGCGCGGGCAGGGCCCTAGCCGCGCCACAGGGCCCGCTGCTGGCGGAGCCGACCGGGGCAGGCCCCCGCAGTCGGGCGGCCGCATCTGGTTCGTGCACGCGGGCTCCCGGGCGGCTTCGCCGTGAGGATTCCGGGCGGCGTCGGCCGCCCCCGCCAGGTCTGGGTCGCCTGGCGGAGGGAGCGCCTCGACCCGAGCCGTGACGGCGCCCGTCTCGACTGACTGGGCACGCGGAGCACGGGTGACCCCCCGCTCAGGGCGTATAGGCCGGCCGAGGCGGCCCACTTGCCATCCGCGCCCCGGCGACCGCGGCGGCGCCCGGTCCGGAGCGGGAGCGGGTCCCTGCCGCCCGCGCCCCTGCGGCCACCGCCGCTTCGGCCGCGCCTGGCCCGCCCGCCCCTCCGCGCGCCGGGTGCGGGCGAGCGGCGCCCCGCGGAGGCGGCCGCGGTCCGCGCCGCGGGCGCCCGGCCCACGGAGCCCGCGCCTCGGGAGCGGGCGCGCTGGCGCCCAGCCCCCTCCCCTCCACCCACTCCGCGCAGGCGCCCACGGCTGCTCCGGGGCGGTCGCCAGGCCTGGCGTGCGTGAGGTGCCGTCGGCTGCAGCTGGTCGCGCGCACGTCGTCGTCGCGCTCGTGGGGGCCTGCCGCGCCTCTTGCTCCGCCTGCCACGAGTTTCGAGTCCCAGCCTCCGCGTGTAGGGTCGGTGCGTGGCCGCGGGCTCGGCGCCGCTCCTGCGCGCGCTGGTGTCGTCGGCCCCAGGCGCAGGGCGAACGCGTCGTCGACTCGAGCCGCCTCTCTCCTTCCTCCGCACTCTCCGCTGTCGCACTCATACGGCGCCAAGCGGCTGCCAAGATGAGGCACACGTGTGGATATCGGACCCGATCCTTCCTCCCTGCTTCCCATCCTCCTCGTCTTCTCGCTCCTCTTCTTCTTTCTCCTCCTCCTTCATCCTCCCTCCTCCTTCCTCCTTGCCTCCTTCATCCTCCCCCCTTAGTCTTCCCTCCTTCCCTGCTCCCTGCTCCTTCCTCCTTCTCAATAGCTGCTCCCTCTTCCCACTTAAGGGTCCACGCTAATTGTAATGTTTCGTGCTTGTTTTCTGTTATCCCTCTTCTTGCCATGGTTCTTCGTGATCGAACATGCGGCGACCCCTCATTGTTATCTGCGTCTCGAGGGGTCATGGGTCTGATGATCATCACGACCCTGTGTTCATATCTCGTCGGTGGCATTCTGCTCTTGTCATCGGATCCCCTTACACTGACTGCGCGCATCGTCGTCGCCACCGTCGCCATCTCTTCTGCCCGAAACCTGCTCCTGGTGTGTCCCAGGTGGTGGCTGGCTCAGCGCAAGCACGGGGGCAGCCTGCCTGATCTCCCTCTTCTTGGAGCTTGCCGACCTCGAGACGCTGGCAACCCTCGGGCGCCTCGTCTTCGGGCTCCTCTTCGGCGCCACCTCGGGCGCTTTCCTCTACCGAGCCGGCGACGGCGTCGCCTTCATCCCGCTGCTGGCCTCGGGCATCATGCTGTGCCGAGGCATCCAGGACCACCTCAAGGGCGAGGCCCGTGGGACGGATGGCTCGTGCACGTGCGCCCGCGTGTTGCTGCCACCTGCTGCCGCTCCTCCGCCCTCCCTCCCCCCCTCCTCCTCCTCCTCCTCTTCCTCCTCCTCCTCCTCCTCCTCCTAATCCTCCTCCTCCTCCTCCTCCTCCTCCTCCTCCTCCTTGCCCCCTCCCCGCCCGCTGCTCCCGCGCGCTGCTGCTGCTCCTCCCTCCGCCCTCCGCCCTCTGGAGCGCCGGGCGCAGGCCAAGCGGCGCTCGGAAGTCGTGGGGGCCATTTGTCAGCAGCCGTGGCTCGCCGAGAATTCTCCGAGCAGTCCTCCCATTCCCCCCAGGCCCAGGAGATGTCTTCTGGTGTCCCAGAACTTACGGAGTTCCTGGCGTACGCAAAATCCGCCGACCCTGTGGGCGTGTGTGTGTGTGTGTGTGTGTGTGTGTGTGTGTGTGTGTGTGTGTGTGCGGGGCTTGTGTGTTCGAATCGTCGTCTCCGTCGGCCGTCGTCTCCGTCGTCCCCTTTCCCTGCACCCTCCCACTCAAGCTTGTCAGCGAGGGAGGAATTTAGCGACGTCGTAGTGTAATCGAATCGAAGGGAATCCCTCCCCCGCCAGAGGGGGGTCGCGGGAGCGGTCCCGGGGGCAGTGTACATATATATATATATATATATATGTACAAGTGGCACGTGTGTGCACAGGCTCATACAAACGACAACTGAAAGGGCGTTTGAAGCAGGAAGACACCATGTCGGCGGGATCGGAGATGAGGAAGGGGAAGCTGGAGCGGCGCCGCCAGGGCGTGCTAGGCTCCAGGATTGTGAGTGTTTTGTGTGTGTGTGTGTGTGTGTGTGTGTGTGTGTGTGTGTGTGTGTGTGTGCGTGTGATGTGTGCTCTGTTTTGTGCGTGTTTCCTGTGCGTTGTAGGTGTTGTGTGTGTGTGTGTGTGTGTGTAATGTTTGTCTAGCGTGTGGTGTGTTGGGTGTGATTTGTGTCTTTGTGTGTGCATGTAGTTCTGAGGCCCCAGGAGGCCCCAGGAGGCACCAGGCGGCCTCAGGAGGCCCCAGGAGACCCCAGGAGGCTCCAGGAGGCCCCGAGAGGCTCCAGGAGGCCCCAGGAGGTTCCAGGAGGACCCCAGGAGGCTCCGAGGCGGGGTCTGGGGCACCAGAAAGTACAGAAAGCCTCAGGAGGCCCCAGGAGGTTCCAGGAGGCCCCCAGGAGGCTCCGAAGCGGGGTCTGGGGTACCAGAAGGTACGTCGGGGCTCGTTTTTTAGAGGATGTCTCAGGCGAAACCGAGAATCGGGGTCAAAACCATTGAAATTACAATGTGTTTTTGAAGTTTTAATGTTAAGATGTTGAAATTCCAATGTGTTTTTGGACCCTGACGTCACGATCTGTGTGAGGTGTGCCACCGATTTTCAGAATTTCGAGGATGTCCCTAGCGAGACGGCCAGACAAATCGCGAACGACGCGGCGCGTACGCGTTCATCGCCTCTGAGGTGCGTATGAGAATATATATATATATATATATATATATATATATATATATCCCCGCGCACGAGGCCCGGGGACCCGGGGCCCGGGCTCCGAGCGCGCATGGGAGGACCGGGGCCTCCGAGACCGCTCCCAGAGCACCCGAGAGGGGCCGTGGATCCCCAGACTGCCCCATGAGAGCTCCAAGACGCTCCCAGAAGTCCCCGGGGGGACTTCGACAAGCCCCTCTAAGACGGCCCAGATGATCCCAACGTGGCCCAGGAGGAGCTCAAGACGGCAAACACAGCCCACGAGGCCTCCAAGAGGCCTCAAGAGAGATCCGAGAGGCGTCCCGAGAGAGCCCGAAGAGGCCCACATCCTTGATTTTCTTTGTTTTTTTCAAACGCGTTTTTCGGTTTCTCGCGTTTTCGACCTTCCGATGCTCCAAGACGGCCGACGACGCCCCCCAAACCGCCCCAAGACCGCCGAAGAGGCACCCAAAAGAGCCTCAATACGGCTACAGAGAGCTTGCAAATTGCCCACGAGGAGCCCCAGACGGCCCACGAGGCCCAAGGACAGGCCCAAGCTTGGCCCAGGGCGCTCGAAGACGGCCCAGATGGCCTGGACCTCCCCCCATCTATCCCTCCTGCCCTCCCGCCCCCTCCCCTTGCCTCCATTCCCTTTCACCTCTTCCTCCCCTCACCCCTCAGGTTTCGTGCTCCTCCCTCCTCTCCTGGGACGGCCCCGCCAGAGCGCAAGACAGGCCCCGCCAGAGCGAACGGGGCATCGCTATACCCTATCATTTCACAAGTTGCTTTGCCCCTCCCACCGCTCAAGGGCGGCCCCGGCAGAGCGAGAGGGGTGTTGCTATGCCGTATACAGTCCCTGTTCTGTCTTGCTCCTCCCACCGCACCCGAGGTAGCCCCGTCAGAGCGCACGGGATGTGGCTATACCATTATTTTTCTTAGGTTTCGTGCTCCTCCCTCCCTTCCTGGGCAAGCCCCGAGGGCGCGCCAGGGAAACCCCTGCCAGAGAGAGAGAGAGAGAGAGACCAGGGCTTCCCTACACCATATTCTTTCAAGCGATTCTTGCTCTTCCCACCCTTGCAGGGCGGGCCCGCCCGAGCAAGCGGGGTGTGGCCATACTATACAATTTCTCAGGTTCCGTGCCCCTCCCGCTCCTCCTGAAAGGCCTCGCCAGAGCGCCAAGAAGGTACCGCCAGAGGCCCCGTCAGAGCTCCAGGCAGCCCCGTACATGGGACCTGCCAGGCAAGTTATTGAGCATTTCCCGTGAGCCCGAATTTCTGCTCCCGCCGGTGCGATTATCGCCGGCATGCGGTATGGCGTCAAGCACAAAAAAGCTTTCCCATTCCCGTGGATGGACTCGACAACAACTGATTGCAGAGAAGGGCTCTGGTGACCGGGACATCTGCGCGCGCCATCTGCAGAAACCCGACAGTTGAACGACCGTTGAAAACGAGAAGCCTGGAGCACAAGGACGAGGACAAAAAACAACGCGTCCCCGCGCGCGCAACGAGGCCCCGAGCCAACCCCAACAACAGGAACCGGCGGGCGTCTGCGTGATCGGACATGGGAAGACCGAACACTTGCGCAAAACATTTACTGCCACGACGGGACGGAACGGAAACGAACGTGGAGAAAAAGCGCACTCCGATAAAACCAAACAAAAGGCGGCAGTGAGATCGTGAGATACGCGGGAACGTGGCACCCCGCGTTATGACTGCGAGTTTCTTTGCGTCGATGGTATGGGCCCGAGAACGCTGCAAACCGTCATTTTGGCCACAGCGGGGCTTACAGCGGCACCCGTGGTTCATCTGCGACTAGAACCGAAGCGCGCGCGTAGCGCACGCGTGGTTCTAGTGCATCTGTTTACACACATACATGCAAGGGTGCATGGGCGCTTCGCGCCATGCGTCTTGTTCCTTGAAGTTTTGGAGCGGTTGGCCTGTCGCGCCTTCCTCTTTTCCCTTTGAGGCGTGTTCGCTTGCTCGTATCACGAAGAAGCGGGGGAAGGCGAGGAGGGGGCAGTCAACTTGGAACGGGCAAAGGCTGTGAGTCGGAGACCACGGGTGCACGGAATGGCGTAACTGGAAATTGCTGAAATCTTGGGTGAGCAACGCACTTTCAAGAACAGTGGTTGCGAACCTGGGGTTGTGGGTGAACTACGGCTGTCCGTAATGAAATACCATTTGAGCGGGCGAAAACCCAGGGATCTACATGGGGGCCAGCCGAACCGGTGTGAGGGCTTTGTGCCCCATCTCGGAGCCACTTCGAACTGTCCTCGGGGCGTGTTGGGACTGCCGCTCGCCCGTTTACACGCTTGGGTGAATGTTGAGAAGGCGCCTTGGCGCTGGAATTCCCGGGTGGCCCTGTTGAGGAACGTCCAGACGGTGTTTCTTGGCTGTCATGGAGCCGCCTATGGGCAGTTTGGGCGTCGCTAAGGGCCCTCATGGCGCCCTCCTTAGAAGTGAGGATGCTGATTTGGCTCGTGTTGGGGCTCCCCTGGCCGTCAGGGCGCCGCCCATGGGCAGTTTTGGGGCTGTCCCGGGTCCTCGTGGGGCCATTTCGGGGATTCAGCAAGCGCGTGTAGGTTTAGTTGGAGCGGTGTTTATGTTTTCGGACGCCCGAACATCAGTGTTTTTTGTGTTCGAGCGCGTCTTGGAGGTACATTTCGGGGGGTCGCCTCAGGGCATCCGACGAGGGCCAGGGCCAACTTGATGCCATTTTGGACTATCTTGGGCGTGTCTTGGGCCTTCCGCCGGCCGCCTTGGTGTCAGTTTCGGGCGGTCACTGGGCCGCTTGTGGGCAGTTTAGGAGCCGTGTTGGGCCCCCGTACGGCTTTCCTCGAGTCGGGAAAGTTTTCCGGTTTCTCGCCTGCGTTCTCCGACGCCTGGCAAGCCGAATGAGGTCACAGTCGCAAAAGCATACAACAACCACATCACAATTCAGAGTTTGAGGGTTGCGAGCGCCTCTTGGATGTGACATTCGAAGCGCCTTCGAGCATCCAGCACGAGACTGGACCGCATGATGCCATCTTGGACCGTTTGTGGCGTCTCTACAGTCGGGGCCCTGAAGAAACCCTTTTCGTTGGGGAGGGGCTCCGTGTTCCTTAATTGTTTCGCAGCTTGCCTTAGATGTTCCTTAGGGTTTCGATACGAAATCGAAGTTCAACTCATGGGAAAAGGGGGCCTCGTTCCTTATTGGAGAGGCCTGACGGCCGGTGCCGCCGACCCTGATCGAAAGGGCTAGGAGTGGGGGGAGGAAGCGGATGATGATGATGATGATGATGATGATGATGATGATGATGATGATGATGATGATGATGATGATGATGATGATGATGATGATGATGATGATGATGATGATGGTGATGTGATGATGATGATGATGATGATGATGATGAGGATGAGGATGAGGATGAGGATGAGGATGAGGATGAGGATGATGATGAGGATGAGGATGAGGATGAAGATGAGGATGAGGATGAGGATGAGGATGAGGATGAGGATGAGGATGAGGAT